GCAAGGGAGCCAAGGGAGCCTTCACACGAGCCCTCCTTGGGCTCCTCCACGGCCTCGCCATTTGGCGAGCGCGCGGGGGAGCCCAGGAAGGGCTCTTGCGAAGGCTGCCTCGGCTCCCTTGCGGCCTCGCCATTTGGTGAAGCCGCAAGGGAGCCTTCACACGAGCCCTCCTTGGGCTCCTCCACGGCCTCGCCATTTGGCGAGCGCGCGGGGGAGCCCAGGAAGGGCTCGCGCGAAGGCTGCCTCGGCTCCCTCGCGGCCTCGCCATTTGGTGAAGCCTCAAGGGAGCCAAGGGAGCCTTCACACGAGCCCTCCTTGGGCTCCTCCACGGCCTCGCCATTTGGCGAGCGCGCGGGGGAGCCCAGGAAGGGCTCGCGCGAAGGCTGCCTGCTCCCCGCACCCTCGCCATTGGGTGAAGCCGCAAGGGAGCCTTCACACGCGCCCTCCTTGGGCTCCTCCACGGCCTCGCCATTTGGCGAGCGCGCGGGGGAGCCCAGGAAGGGCTCGCGCGAAGGCTGCCTTGGCTCCCTCGCGGCCTCGCCATTTGGTGAAGCTGCAAGGGAGCCAAGGGAGCCTTCACACGAGCCCTCCTTGGGCTCCTCCACGGCCTCGCCATTTGGCGAGCGTGCGGGGGAGCCCAGGAAGGGCTCGCGCGAAGGCTGCCTTGGCTCCCTCGCGGCCCACTACGACCCCCTTGTTTCCGAGACCCCCCCGAGGTTGAGAACCGCTTCATAGAGGATAAAGCAACAGCACCCCCTGGACTCAAGCCCAACATTTCATGGCACCAAAAACAGCTGAAACAAACCACCTCCATCTGTTCTGTCTGTCTGTGTGGTGTCTATACAAAGCGGCATTAAATGCTTGCCATGTATGTGATCCGCCCTGAGTCCCCTTTGGGGTGAGAGGGGCGGAATATAAATAAAGTGTTGTTATTGTTGATAATAACAATATTACCTAAAAATAATATTATCTAAAAACAGCACAGGAATCGTCTGGGCTTCCTGTAAGTTTTCTGAACTGGGCTTGGAGCATATGCCCCCTCTTCTATCTCCTATTCAGGTAAAATCAGATAAATTAAATTTCTGAGCAGTAAAACAGAATAGAAGCCACAGTTTTAGGATAGAAGCAGTAGGCTGACTTTGTTTCAAACTCTTTAAGGTAACTGCTTGGATTTAGCAACCCTCGCCACATACTTCTTTCTGATGAAAGTCAATAGCTCTGCAGCATTAAACACGGGTCCCACCTATGAATAGCCAGTATATTTGTAAATATTACAAGAGGCCGCAGTGACCCCCTGGAACGTCTCTAAGAGTCATATTATCCTTCTTGACGGAAACCATTTTAAATTAAATGAATGCATTTCTGGCAGTGAGAGTGAATCTTTTATACCTCTCCTGTAGGAATGAGGATAGGCTTAGGTTTGTGACATTCTTCTGTTTCCTTGGATGGTCGAGCCAGGATTGCATCACGAACAGCATCCCAGAATGAATTCCCTTCTATCATGCCTGTCAACAAACACACATCAACAGAATATTTCACATCTATCATTATACAAAGGAGCCCTGGTGATGCAATGGGTTAAACCCTTGTGCCGGCAGGACTGAAGACTGACGGGTCGACATTTGATAAGAATCAAGATAAATTATTTACATATTTTACAACGGCTGCCAGAACTGAATATGCAATTCTTCTGGGATATATAGCTCAGACAATTAAATTTCCAAACTCAGATATATACAAAGCCCGGTTCACCAATCAATTAATCTTATTAATGAGTAAATTCAATTTAATATAGAAAGATTTTAAGATTAGATAATTTTAGTTTAATAGCAATTTGAATATGCTGTGTAGCAGACAAAAATGTATACGGTCACTATTCTGTATCCATGTTGCTTTGGCATAGCTCTTGCCTTAAAATCAATGCTTGTATAACTTAGTGAGAGGAAGTTCTAGAGCATATACATGCCTCACCTCTCAGTTTCTTTCTTAGTGCAATGTACTCCAGCTTTTTTGCCTCCATCCTGCCTGCAGACATCCCTCCCAATTCTTCTAAAATTTAGCTAGTCATTTTCCCTCTTTGGTTTGCACAAGGAACCTCCATAAAGTTCGCATCCACATATGAGAGCCAACTTCTACTGAAATTTAGATAATCCTCTTTTGTTTATACCCTTTCCTATTCCAAGGTGGAATTCTTGAAACAGTAAATGTAAGTTTTCTTTCTTTTTTCCAACCTTTCAAGAGTATTTATCCTGTTTTCCACCAGAGGTTCACATTCCACTGGCCAAGCTGCATTCTATTTGATATGGGGTACCAAAAATGCATACAAAAGATGCCGAATCAATGTCTTAAGTAAATGTATAAAAACATTTACCTGCCATAAATGTTCTGACTATATGGGCAGAACACACTGGCCACATGTCTAGACGTTCCTCAAGAGCAGAGAATTGAAAACCCACCTTTGCCCCGCTAAAGTTCTTATAATCCCCCTCATCAGTATGGCCTTTTGACCATATTGGCTGATAATAATAATAATAATAATCTTTATTTATACCCTGTCACCATCTCCCCAATGGGGACTCGGAGCGGCTTACATGGGGCCAAGCCTGGACAACATGTTACAGCAAAATAAAACCAGAACATAAACAACAAGCAACATCATCAAAATTACATAGAAAAAAAGTATAAACACAGTAACAAAATAACATTCCAATAAACATAATCACGATAACAGTGGGCGGGCCACATGTACAGGATAAAATGATTAAAAAACTCTAATGAGATAAAAATAGGAGCAGGCTATTTGCAGGGAATTATAGGATCTATAAGTCCCAAAAACATTCCTAAGCTCTGCCCAAGAGGCATGCTTTTACTGGTAGAATTCACAACGAAGGAAAGGAACATCTTACACAGGCTGAATATTGACCCTGCATATTATATCTTCACTACATTTGTGCTTTAATAATTTCACTGCTTTCCTTTCTACACTGTAAGGCTCTTTTCACTGCCATTTTCACTGCCCTGTTTACCCTGCCTCATAGTTTGCCTTAACTTAAAAAAAAAACCCATAGCAACACTATTACATAATGACATTGCTGCTCTATTATATTACTGCTTTAAAATACTTTTAAAGTAACATTATGGCAGTAATACTGTAGTTACAACAAGAAAGCAGTGGACAGAAATTTGGAAACAGTAAATTAGTCAGAATAGTGGCTTCCGAAGGTTAATAGTCACTGCAACATAACAACAAACTATTTATTAGACATGTGCACGAAATTTGTTCCTACCATTTCTTTTGTGTCTTCCGTTTCTTTGGAAGCATGAAACGGGAAGCCCCCTCCCGACACGAAAATCTGCTGTACACAAAAGCCTGCTTTTGTGTGCATCTCAACTTGCCTGCTTGCCTTGGAAAGAGAATGTGTGTGTGGTATGTGTGTGCTTTCCAGGCCTACTTGCATGCCACGCCACACATGCACTCTCCCTGGAAATCTCTATAGTAAGAGGTGCTCAGCTGCAGACATGCTCTGGTCCTGCCTGCATATCCTGCCACACATACCCCGCCACACTCTCCAAGAGTTCATTTGTGATGGGGCATGTAGGCAGGCAGTACTGGAACTCCRCTGCAGGCAYGCTTCATGCCTGCCTGCACACCCCATCACACATGCACTCTTGGAGAGTGTAGCAGRGTGTGTGTGGCAGGGTATGCAGGCAGGCCCGAAACTCTTTCCAGGGAGAGTGCATGTGTGGTGTGGCATGTAGGCAGGCCAGGAAAGTGCACGCACCTGCCAATACCTACAGTCAAGCGCCTCTAACTTTAGAGTAGAAACAGCAGGTGGCAGGTAAGAACAACACATGCCGGGAAGGAGAGCCAATGGTGGGATGCCCCCCCCCTTGCAAAAAGGTCCGATTTTCGGAGCCCTGAAATGAAAGAACCAAACACAACCCTCCCAATAGTGGGACCGAGGCCCCCAATGAAAGCCAGGACATGAAATGGGACAAGGTTTACCCAAAAAACACATGTCTACTATTTTTACATTTTTAAGAATCTAAAAAGAGTTGCAAGAACATAGATCATAGGAAACAAGAGCTATTCTATTAGCCCGAGCATTAGTCTGAAGCTTCCATAACAAAGTTTTCCTTGAGAATCACCAAGGAAGAGACAACCAGATCACAGCCCCACTACTCTGTAGGCATTCATACTCAATTTGGTTACTGATAGTGGGGCCATTAAAGGCTAACTGATAGCTTGAAAAAAGAAAAAAATATGAGTAATTTTAGACCACAACAACAATTGCTTACTTAAGCAGTATGATGATGTTGTGAGATAAGCACTTTTGACTCAAAGAATTAAGAACCAAGTCTGGGCTTCAGGAAAACTGGGTGGAATGCATACAACTCCTAGCCCCACTTTACTTGGATTGGTTTCCATGTGTACTTTTGGCATGTTAATAATGTCAGTAGATTTCATGGCCATGCTGAAAGCGAAATAATAAATAGGATCAGCACAAGCAATAATGAATAACTACGGATCCCCACTTGCCTTGAGTGAAATTGAACATTCCCGGCCCATCGATGGTGCCTGCAGCAAAGCTGTATCCCAAGGCTGGTTTGCATGTTTTACCCTTTGGGAAAGCATGATGGAAAATTAAGGTGTGCAGTTAAAGTAATTTGGTGTCATTATTTCCTGCTAAAACATAACTTTGAGTGTACTTTACCGTATGAGTAGCATTGAGTTGAACAGTAACATTGCTCATGTCCACCCACTGGTGAGCTGAATGAATGGGGCCATTTATCTCTTCAACGGCTTTGCTGTATAGTTCCTGAAATGCAAATGATAACCCTTTGAAATGACTAGTTTTTCATATATTCACTGGATCAATTCCATCTACTGGGTAAACCCTTGTGCCAGCTGAACTGCTGACCTGAAGGTCAGTGGTTTGAATCCATGAGATGGGGTAAGCTCCCATCTGTCAGCTCCAGCTTCCCATGTGGGGACATGAGAGAAGCCTCCCACAGGATGGTAAAATATCTGAGCGTCCCCTTGGCAACATCCCTGGAGACGGCCAGTTCTCTCACACCAGAAACGACTTGCAGTTTCGCTCTGACTCGAAAAAAAAAAATCCATATACAAAGATTGGCTCATATTATGTAACAAAATTCAAACAAAATTCTGTTCCTGGTTTGAAAGTCTTATTTCCCGTTAAACTGTGTGATACTTATTTTGAAAGTAGTTGTTCTACTCCAGAAACTTCATTTTTGTGGCTGCCACAAACTATGAGACTCTATGAGATATTAATTGAAAAACTATAGCAAAACGCGATGTCTCGCAAAAACAAAGGTTTTGCAGTTTAATAAACTTTTTCCATATTTTTATGATAGAACCAATTAGGAAATGACATTTATATTCCAGGAACAAAAATCATGTTACATAGTGTTATTTACACAAGTTTGTTTTAATGACTTTAAGGGTCAAGACCTCAAGAAGCAGCTTTCATCATATGCAACACAAATAAATAATAAATACAACATTTCTTCAATTCTAAGATGCCATGGATTGTAATATGCACACTAATTTCAGTGTCACTAACAGAACAAAAGCTATATATATGTACCCCATTTTTAGAACTGTCTATGCGTATATGAGTGTGGGGGAAGTCTTATAATTGAAGAAGTATAGAACGTATGATTTTCAAAGGCAGGTATTAGTGATTAGTTTATCAATCAATCAAACTTTATTTATATCCCATCCCATCTCCCATTGGGGACTCGGGGATGCTTACAACATAATTGGCAACCATTCAATGCCACACAAATACATGATAAAAATACAAATACATAATAAATTAAAAATACAAATACTGTATATACTCTAGTATAAGCCTAGTTTTTCAGCCCTTTTTTTAAGGCTGAAAAAGCCCCCCTCGGCTTATACTCGAGTCAAAGTTTTTTATTATTTTACTCTGTTATTATTTTATTACATTCATTGTTTTACTCTGTTTATTATTATTATTATTATTATTATTATTATTATTATTATTACATTTATCATTTTACTCTATTATTGTTGTTGTTGCATTTATTATTTTACTTTATTGTTGTTATTATTACATTTGTTATTTTACTCTATTATTACTGTTATTATTATATTTCCATTATTTTACTGTATTATTATTATTATTACATTTATTATTTTACTCTATTTATTATTAGAAGGTTATGTAAGCACATTTACATTGAAGAAAGTCAGAATAATGGTTTAATCAGAGTTGGACAGTCTTATCTTAAATTACAGTTTTATGTAAATATTCAAAAACATTTAACCTACTGATGTCTCAATTAATGTACTTTTATCGGTATCTATTTTTGGCATTTCCTAACCTCGGCTTATCTTCAAGTCAATATGCTTTTCCAGTTTTTTGTGGTAAAATTAGATGCCTCGGCTTATAGCTAGGTCGGCTTATATTCGAGTATATACAATAATTAATCTAAGCAATGTATCGTAACCAAACATAATAACAAATAATAGTTTATACTCTGATCTGACTCAGGCAGGAAAAAAAATGCACTCATTTATTTATAATTGGTGCTAATATGCAAGAAGTTTCCCAAATATCACAGATGAACACTAATTTAAAACTAAACAGTAACTAAATAAATAATGCATCCTACCACTTGAATCCATTCATACAGATGAAGTCAGTAGATGTATGTACCTTTGCTCTCAAGTAGATGTTTCTCCCAATTATTTGGGTGCTCTCAAGCATGTCTTTGCCGGGACCTTTAGCGATACACATCTTGGACTAAGGTGAATTGTTGAAAAACAAAAGGGAAAATTAGCAACTGGCTACAATATCACACAATAATATAGAGAAGCAAAAGTGGTTGCAGCTAGTTATTATAAGGATAGCCTGGACATACTTGCCTTTTCTCATTCTATGAATCTGTCCTATTGAAGAAAACTTACAATTTCCCAACTAACATGCAATTTTCATGGTGCTATAAATAACATGTGAATTGGTCCTATGGTATCAATGTGCTTGCCCAGAATAATAAAATGCACAGGAAAACAGAGAGGCTTCATTTCTCTAGCCAACATGGCCAAAGTCTGGAGACTGTAGTCCAAAAGTGACAGTTCTGGTATATGATTATTTTTTTTGGAAGCATCCCTGGTCACACAGTGGGTTAAACCGCTGAGCTGTTGGACTTGCTAACTGAAAGGTCGCAGGTTCGAATCTGGGGAGCAACATGAGGTTTCCCCTTGACATTAAGTCTAGTCGTGTCCAACTCTAGGCGGTAGTGCTCATCTCAATTTCTAAGCCAAAGAGCCGGAGTTGTCTGTAGACACCTCCAAGGTCATGTGGCCGGCATGACTGCATGAAGTGCCGTTACTATCCCGCTGAAGCAGTACCTATTGATCTACTCACATTTGTATGTTTTCAAACTGCTAGGTTGGCAAAAGCTGGGGCTAACAGCGAGAGCCCACGTCCTGGATTCGGACCACCAACCAGCAAGTTCAACAGCTCAGTGGCTTAATTTGCTGCATCACCAGGGGGCCTCTAAATACTACTATATACTACTACAAATGTAAGGTACTCCATTGAGGACTGAAAAATGAAATGCACCAGTGTAGGAAATGTGACACCTGATTTGACCACAGTACATATGAATAAGATCTAAAGGTCTTATTAGACCACAAGCTAAAGCAGAATCAACAGTATGTTTCAGAAGCCAATGTAATTTTTGGCTGCCTCAACCAGAATATCGTCTCCAGACGGAAGGAAAATCAAAACATCTCTCTGTTCAGCTTTGGATAGACCTCACTTGGAATGAGTACTGTATCCAGTTCTGGGCATTACAGTTGAAGAATAATATTGACAAGCTGGAACATGTTCAAAGGAAGGCAACCAAGATGGTAAATCTACAAACAGCTTAGGGAGCCTTGCGTGCTTAGCTTGGGGAAAAAAACTGAGATGTGATATGGTAATAATCATATTTAAATATCTGAAGGACTGTCATGTGGAAGATGGAGCAAGGTTGCTTTCTCCTGCTCCAGAGACTAGGGGCCCTTCCAGACAGGCCCTATGTCCCAGGATCTGATCTCAGGTTTTCTGCTTTAAACTGGATTATATAGTATGATTATACAGCACTGCCAGATAATGTGGGATAAACAGAAAACTTGGGATGAGATCCTGGGATATAGAGCCTGTCTGGAAGGGCCCTAGGACACAAACCAGTGGATTAATATACGAAAAAATGATTCCACCTAAACATTAGGAATCACTTCTTAGTTAGAAGAGTTATTCAAATGTGGAACAGACTGTCTTACAATACTCTCCTTTTGGAGTTCTTTATACAAAACTTTCCTTTTGGGAGCTTTTAAAACACAATTTGGATAGCAGTACTTTAGTTGGATAGTCCTGCATGGCAGTGGTTGGACTAGAAGGTCCTTGCAGTTCCTTTCAGTACTATGATTCTATGATTGTCCAAGTGGAAAGAGCAATGATACTGACTGATTTTGCATTTGTTGTTGTTGTTCATTCGTTCAGTCATTTCCAACTCTTCGTGACCTCATGGTCCAGCCCACGCCAGAGCTCTCTGTCGGCCGTCACCACCCCCAGCTCCTTCAAGGTCAATCCAGTCACTTAAAGGATGACATCCAATCATCTTTCCCTTGGTTGGCCCCTCTTCCTTTTTCCTTCCATTTTCACCAGCATCATTGTCTTCTCTAAGCTTTCCTGCTTCTCATGATGTGGCCAAAGTACTTCATCTTGGCCTCTACTATTCTTCCCTCCAATGAACAGTCGGGCTTTATTTCCTGAAGTATGGACTGGTTGGATCTTCTTGCTGTCCAAGGCACTCTCAGAACTTTCCTCCAGCACCACAGTTCAAAAGCATCTATCTTCCTTTGCTCAGCCTTCCCTATAGTTCAGCTCTCACATCTGTTGGTGCTTTGACTATGCGGATCTTTGTTGCCAGTGTGATGTCTCTACTCTTTACTATTTTATTGAGATTGGACATTACTCCTCCCAAGAAGTAAGCGTCTCCTGATTTCCTGGCTGCGGTCTGAGTCTGCAGTAATCTTTGCACCTAGAAATACAAAGTCTGTCACTGCCTCCACGTTTTCTCCCTCTATTTCCCTGTTGTCAATCATTCGTGTTGCCATAATCTTGGTTCGTTTGATGTTTAACTGCAACTCAGCTTTTGCGTTTTCTTCTTCTTAGAAGGCTCCTCAGCTCCTCCTCTCGTTTTTGCATAGAGGAGGTAGAATTCACTTCCATCAACACTATTATAGTAATTCAGCTCAGTTAATTACAAAACCTGAATTTTTGTATCTCAACCCCGCACCCAAGAAACCCAATAAAATTCTGAAATAGTTTTGCAAAGTTTTGTATTACAAACTCCAAACTGTGACGTAACAACCACAGCTCTGTAAATGATAAATCCACAACTGGAGAGACAATGTGTTGCATCAGTTAAGAGTTTTAGGCTGCAACCTGTGAAACATACATAGCTATACAGATGAATACATCCATGTTTCCTCACACATTATTTTTGAATTTCAGTAAAAATTTATAAGTATTTCAATCTGAATCTGGATTGAAAAATATACTTTTTGTCACACTAGTAACATAATTCAGTGAGCTATGATATAATTAAAGGTTGCTTAACCTAGATGGCTTCGCCTGAGTAATTACTTTTATTGGGCGAAACGTCAGGAGAGAATGCTTCTAGAACATGGCCAAATAGCTCGAAAAACCTACAACAACTCAGTGATTCCAGCCATGATAGCCTACGACAATACAGTTACTTTTATTTTTATTCATTTTAATTTAGTCTGAATCACCTTGTATACCTTTTATGGGACATCCTACTGGACACATTAATCTGAAGCAGAAAAGGATGAACATGTGACATGAAAGACTGATTAGTGAATCTATACCGATGGAAGACAACAAATGTGCACACCTATGTATTTGGGATTTCTCCAAGATTGTGAAGTGTAGCTGACTGGAATCTGGCAGACACAGTACAATGGGGCCTTGGAGTCTGGGGCCAGGATAATCAAATCAAATCATTTATTTCCGTCATAGACCAGCACAGATAATATGGGGCCAGGATAATCTCATGGATACCAATATCTGTAATGCTCAAGTTCCATTATATACAATGACATAGTAAAATGGTGCCCCCTAAATAAAATTTCAAAACCAAGGTTTGGGTTTTATTTTCCTGGAAAGATTATGGTGAATGTTTAAAAATTGTGTATTGTGGAATTAACAGATGTAGTATGCATGGATAAGGAAGATCAACTGTATATCAATCAAAGCTGTTCAGCAGTTGAACTCTCTTCCCTGGAGTGTGGTGGAGGCTCCTTCTTTGAAGGCTTTTAAACAGAGGCTGGATGGCCATCTGTCAGGGGTGCTTTGAATGCAATTTTCCTGCTTCTTGGCAGGGGGTTAGAGTGGATGGCCCATGAGGTCTCTTCCAACTCTAGGATTCTATTCTAAATCCTAGGGCTATATTTTTCAGCATTATTTTATTTTAAAAACAGATTAATGAATTAAGATTAGTATAGCCTGAAGTAGCATCTTTCCCAACTTGGTTTTCCCAATCTTCTTTGATAAGAAGACCAAAGACACACCTGAGACAAGCTACTGATAACATCGGAAGAGAAAATCCAGGGATTTTTAATCCATGAATGACTTCCAGGGCAACCTGGAAACAATGGAATCCTGATGGTTGCAAGAGCACAGAGATCAAACTTTGGTTGTAGATATAACACTTACCCCTCCTATTGGACAGTAGTTGTTGAGATTTTCACACGAAGCCCCTGTGTTTATGCAGTGTGGACCTTGTATGTTGGGAGACACGTCTCCTAAATTAGATGATGCAAAACCAGCAACATACGGCCCCTGAAAGAGGAAAGTAACCATATCAGTGATGCTACTATATTTTTGTTCTAAATTCACTTTTCTGCCTTATGGGGAAATGCTTGTAGATATATGAATGTAAACTCACTGCATACTCCTTTCATAGCATTACAGTTATGGTAACCAATTTTGACTCCATTATGATTGTTCCTATAGCTCTACTGCCAAGGAGAATCCAAAACTTATTAAATATGATTTTCGGCGGGCGAGCAGATGGCGACTACTGGATGGCATATGTTCTGTATCAGAAACTAGAGCTGATGTGATCTATCCAATACAATTTTCTGAATCAGCACCACAAATAACCAAACTGAATCTAAAGTTGACCAAAAACTGATTCATAACCCAGTTGGTACTAATGTTGGTGAGTGGTCCCTGGTCAAAAAAAGTTTGGGAACCACTGATATAAACAAACAAGTTCCAGCAGCTTTCATTTCCAACAACAAGTGTTTTTGCATACCTAAAGGATCTTAGACTGGATCTATGCTGCCCTATATCCCAGGATCTGATCCCAAATTATCTGCTTTGAACTGGATTTTATGAGTCTACACTGCCAGATAATCTTGGATAAACAGATTCTGCATATCTCATCCTGGGTTTTATCAATTTTATTCCTAGGACATTTGCCCGCCCACCGTGTTCTATTTCTCTTTCATGTTATTTTGAAACTATTTATTTTATTTTGTTATTTCATGTATTTATTTTAATTGTAGTTTTGCTTCTTGTATTTTATTTTGCTGTACTGTAATTTGGACTTGGCCTCATGTTAGCCACCCGAGTCCCCTTTGGTGAGATGGTGGCAGGGTATAAATAAAGATTGTTGTTGTTGTTGTTGAGTTCTGCATCTCTTCCATGGAATGTTAATACTCCAGATTTTGACATAACACACTCTTCATCCCACCACACCGCATCTCTGCTACTAGAGCTGTTGTCTCTGGTTTTTGGTAGAGAAGACAATGGCAACTGCAGCAGTCAATGTTTTGATCCAAATCCATGTGTGTGCTAAGCCTATGTGCAGCTGCGAAAAATACAAGTTGTAGCCAACTTTGAATAATAATACAATAATACAAATAATACAAGTAATATAAATAATTTGCAAATAATACAAGTTGTAGCCAACTTGAAGGAGCTGGGGGTGGTGACGGCCGACAGGGAGCTCTGGCATGGGCTGGTTCATGAGGTCACAAAGAGTTGGAAGCGACTGAACGAATGAACAACAACAAAAGCCAACTTTGTTTCAAATGAACTGTGCAACTGTGTTTCGTGTATAAGCTGATTGGGAACTCATCCCTGAACCCATACCTGCTTGTCCCATATGACATAACAGAGAACAGGGAAGGAAGACATGTACACAAGACTATACTTGGAGCTGGCATTGGCATGCTTTTATTTTTTCACTGCTTTTACCTCTTCTTTTTTCTAGCAGAATGCTTGCCTAGAGCTGGAGTAAGAATTTAGGTAACCATTCCTGTACACCACAAGTAGATCTCATAAGGAATCCCCCCCAAAAAGGATGGTATAATATCAACTAGACATCAACTACATGATATCTAATTGCGTACTACAACATCTGCTAACTGCTAACATCAGTAAATATGGTGCCTACTGCTAACATCAGTAAATATAGTATATCACAACCATATTGAACACCATTTGGTTAACTCAGTGAAAATAGGGAAAATATTAAGTCAAGATACTGGTAAAATCTTAAAGGTCCTGTGTAGTCCTTTCCAATTCTTAATTCTATGATACGTGAATTAAGATCACCATAAATTCTTCACACCTTTCCTGTCAGGTATCCCTTATTCTTTTCTTCTTCAAAGAGATAAGCAGCATAACCAACGTTGTCACTACTTGTATGAAGGTTGGTATTGTTCATGCTGACAGGATGAATGGCAAACCAGCTATTAAAGAGAATCAAAAGATTAAAAAGTAAGTTAGAAATCGATTTGTCAGCTCACAATTATTTATTTGTTTGTTTGTTTACTATATTTGTATACCGCCCTTCTAAGCCCTCAAACAACTCAGGCCGGTTTACAGAGGCAACAATTCGATGCCCAAGAACATAATAAAACATTTAAATCATTAATACATAGTAGAAAACCAAACAAAAGTAATAAATACATAAGCCATTTGTGTCTCCTAATTAAAAACATTATCCATCTCGTCGTTCGGTCATTCCAAGTTGCTATGTCTTTTACACTGCATTTTCAAATGCTTACTCGAACAACCAGGTCTTGACACTTTTCCGGAATGTTAAGAGGGAGGGGGCCGATCTAATGTCCCTAGGAAGGGCATTCCATAGCCGAGGGGGCACCATTGAGAAGGCCCTGTCTCTCGTCCCCGCCAAGCGTATTTGTGACGCAGGTCGGATCGAGAGCAGGGCCTCCCCGGACAATATTAAAGTCCAAGCAGGTTCATAAGGGGAGATGTGTTCAGACAGGTAAGTTGGGCCAGAACTGTTTAGGGCTTTATAGGTTAAAGTTATATATCTAGGCTAAATGTATATATATAGGCTAAAGTTATATATATTATCGATAAAGTTATATATCTATCGAAATATCTGGGAATAAGTTCTGATGAATTCAGTGGGGCCCAGTTGGCTTGTGCACAGATTTGGAGTGGTTAGTTCCCTTCGGCCAATCTGGCTTGTTCAGCTTGGTTAGATGGTCCCGTAACATATGTTTTTTACCTGTTATGAGACCACGTGGCAGCCAATCATGGCTCCTCCTCCCCTATTCAGTATCATGCGGTGTGCAAAGATGATGGGTCTTACACAAGCTGTGTCTGCTTCCTTAACCCCACTGCTGAAACCCAGGCTCCCTTGAGGAGAAAAATGGAAAGGGTCCCAGGAATGGAAAGGGGAGGCTCCTAAGTTCCAATGGGTCAGATCTGGCCATATTTTTTGGCTGCGGACCAAAAACATCTATTCGACTACCTGCCCATTTTTGGGAGGCATGTGAAAACGGATACAGGTGTCTACTGGAATCCGGCCAGCAGAAATGAATCAAGGTTTAGTTAAAATGCACAAGCCTAGGGCCCAGCAGACACATGTAAAATTAGGATTGCAATGTTGAGATACTAATTTATTATTTAACCAGAAATGATTCAGCCCAGTCCACCCTGAGCCCATTTTTAGAATAAAAGGTGGGCATCAACCCAATCCCATCTGATTCATTGTCTTCCAGCTTGCTGTCTCCTTATTCTACCCTCCTGCAAACCAATACACCCCAAGTCTCAGTATCTCTTTTACTTCTATTTCCATACCCATTGCAGCTGCATCTCTCATTTCCTCTACTTTGATTATAACAACAAGGAATGAAGAAATGCAATCCAAAATGATGTATTATTTCTCTTGCCTTATTTCAAATGACAGTTCAAAAAGTCCTTACCTCAACATCCCTATTTCTTGACCATTGTCAGCAACCAATTTCAGCAACACCATTTCTTTATCTGTGTTTGATGTATACCTGAACAATGAATAAATAAATAAGCTTTCACACCTGGAATGGGAAGTTAGTCGGAGAGATGGAAGCAGATACAAAGAAGGTGAGTTGTACTGAGAATCACTCATCAGAATGTTTTCCAGTGCAGCCCCTTCATATTAACAGATAGTATGTGAAGGCATTTCCATGCTGTTGTGTGTGAGGCCAGCCTTGGAAATAGCAACTGGCTGGCATTTGTCAACATCCATGGTCTCAAGGGTCGCCCTTGCTTCTCCCCCCCCCCCCTTACAACTGCTGTCTGTTTGTTCACCTACCTAGAGATACAAATATCTGATCTAATTTGTTCTTGCAAGTGAGAATTAACAAAAAAAATTTACTACAGAAAAACACATTTCATTTGGTAACAACACATTCCAAAGTGTTTTGGAAAATTATTCTGTGTAGAAATACTTCTAAGGATTTTTCTTTTTGCATGACAATCTTTTTTGTATGTGTGTGAAGGCCACTTCACATAAAGCCACATGTGTTTTTAGGGAAATTGCTTTTTTATTTCGTCTTCTTTTTGGCAGAAAACGGCAATTAAACACACAAAAACAGCTAAACGTTTTTGTTTCAGGGTTGTTGGGGGTTTTGTGTGTGGGTTTTGCAATTTTTTAATACTAAAAGCAGTAAACTTTTATAGGAAACAATGTTTTTAGCAAAATAACATGGTTTTTGCACACATGATAAGGCATTTCTAAGCAGATCAGAAAATCATGGTTGCTGACCGCATGCAGATTGTGGGAAACTGTACAAACTTGTTTGCCGCAACCTGGTTACCTTCAGAGTACAACTCCCAACTTCCCCAGTGGGAAGGTTAAAATAAAAATATACATCTGGAAAGTTCACCGAATTAGAGGAAGTGATTTTCTAAGAAGTAAAATCCCAGTCATTATGACTTCTAGTGCTAAACAAGCATGGACCTTCGTTTTTACCAGTACGGTTCAATTAATATTATTTTTAAAAGACGACGACAACAACAACAACAACAACTACTACTACTACTACTACTACTATTATTTTAATGTATTGTTGAAGGCTTTCATGGCTGGAATCACTGGGTTGTTGTAGGTTTTTTTTGGGCTATATGGCCATGTTCTAGAGGCATTTCTCCTGATGTTTTGCAGGTGAAACGTCAGGAGAAATGCCTCTAGAACATGGCCATATAGCCCGAAAAAACCTACGACAACCTATTATTATTTTATTCTTGTATCCCCCCACCATCTCCCCGGAGGGACTTGGGATCGCTTACACAAGGCACAAGGTGCCTAAAAACTAAACATAAAATGAAAACAAATTAAAAATACAATTAAATACAACATATGGACATATAAAACATCAACTAATACTCAATTAAAACAGCACTCATTAATCAATGGTGATAAGTTACTAAACACTGATAAAAAATATTGCAACAACTACTACTACTACTAATACATTTTATTTCTCACCCAACTCTTCCAGCGGCTCAAGATGGGGTACAACAAAGTCAAAACACATTAATAGGAAATAGATACAATAAAATACACAGATAAAAACACATCATTATAAAAATAGATCACGGTTCATTAGTTTACACTGCAAGCAAACTAGTGAGACACTAAATTCCGTGTCCTTATAGAATGACACTTTGTGTTTACCTGAGTCTTTCAGATTCTGGATTATTAAGATAAGAAAGAGGACTCCTGTTGATTTGAGTGTTCTCGACCAAGCCTTTATTGAGAAAAACCCGCCCTTTGACCATATTTTGATGAGCTGTTTCAATACTCTGAAAATTAGAAAATATTAATAGAATCAGCAATTTCTAAACAACATGCATACATCTGCATATATCCAAAGGATTGAAGATATTTTAATCACAATCTAAACATAGCTACATAGGTCACTAAGTTCAATGATAAATTCTTTCCAATCCAGATAACTGGACTTCCCCCTTATCCATTCAGCACCTTTCATCATAAAGAGGTTAGAAGGACCAATTATTTTATTATACACACAGATTTAAACCAATTCTACTTCCTTAAAGAATGAATGCATTGCTTTGAATGCATGTTAAAAATACCAAGAGGATCTACAGACAACAGGCTCCTCGGTATGGAAAATGTTGAGCATTGCCTCCAAATAGCAGAGATGGAAAGGAAAACCTTTGCCTTTGTTTGTAATGTATGTCATTGTTCACTTTATATATGTTTGCCTATACATGTGTATACTGTAATCTGCTCTGAGTGCCCTCGGAGAGATAGAGCAGAATATAAAGAAGAAGAAGAAGAGGAGGAGGAGGAAGAACTTTATTTTCCTACCCCGCCTCCATCTCCCCAAAGGGACTCAGGGCGTCTTGCATGGGGCCAAGCCCAGGCAGAATACAATTAAAAGCAAAGCAATAACAATTAAGAAAACATAAAACAGTGTAACAATAATAACAAGCAACAGCAGTAATAGCAGACTAATTTTGGAGGGGGGGGGGGGGAAGAAGACCACTATGCGATCTGGTTAAAGGATAAGGTGGTTCAATAAGGTGGATAACAATGTATAATAACATAGGAAATATCATTCAAACAGTTCGAAATTAACAGGAACAGAATCAATTCTATGTAATATGGGAAATCAGATTAAATAACAATTCAGTTTATGATACATGTCATTTGTCATAGGAGTCATCAATCGAAAGCACGACGAAACATCCACATCTTTAATTCCTTACGGAATATGGCTGGGGAGGATGCCAGCCTAATCTCCCTGGGGAGGGAATTCCAGAGACGGGGGGCCACCACCGAGAATGCCCTCTCTCTCGTCCCCACCAACCGTGCCTGAGATGGGGCCGGGAGCGAGAGAAGAGCATCCCTGGAAGATCTTAAGGACTGTATGGGCTCGTAAGGGAGGAGGTGTATTATTATTATTATTATTATTATTATTATTATTATTATTGTAGTAGTAGTAGTAGTTGTTGTTGTTGATGTTATGAAATCTAGAAACTAGTCTGCCTATATTGCTTTCCTATAGAGTACAAAAATAAGCAAGACAGTTAAAATCATGGGTTGAACATGCTCTTACCTCTAGGATCCCATTGACAATGGCATTATAGGTTGGCTTTATAAACCCCTTGCTTGTTATCATATAAATTGTGTATTGAAAGTAGCCTCCAGGTCCTGAATGAGTATGAGTTCCACTTAGTACAACATTATCTGGTCCGTAAAGATTTCCATATCTGTTTTTCAACTGTCGCATGACCTAAAAAGAAAGGTATTGCATCTGTTAGGGCTACACAAGGTCATACCATCTGCTAGATTGTGTGACTTGAATTAACACCCAATTTATTTAGACTAGTTTTGGCTTGAACCAGTTCAGTTCAAGCCATAGTTTTTTTTACTTTAGAATTCATATCAGACCCATTCATTTTCTTCCCAAATCCTTTAAAAGTAGTGCTTCAACTTATCACACTGTAGTTGTCTCCTCTCCTCTCTCTTGCTCCTCTCATTGCTTTCCCTCCTCCTCCCTTCTCCATCACTTCCCCTCACTCCCTTTCCCTCAGTGGTTCGAAGTCTCAGAAGATTTTTCCCCAGAAGCTCAGCTGATGAAATGCATTTGAGTCGCCCAAGGGCTGAGAAAAGCAGTATATTAAAATAGTAAATAAATAAATATGGGTTTCAACACAGGTTACATTCACATTACAATTGCTGTGCTTTTGCTGCAAGTTGAAGGAAGAGAGATGGTTGGAGATTAAAACTTCCTCCAAAATTATTTATTTCAAACATTTGTACCCGGCCCTTCTCAACCTCCCCAAGGGGGACTCAGGGTGGCTTAAAGCCGGCAACAATTTGATGCCCACACACACAAACACTGTAAAACAGGACAATTACATAATAGGTAAAAGCATTATGTTAAAATCCATTTAAAACAGCATTATTTACTAAATCGCCATATCTAAATCCAATTCAGCGACCAATGACCCAGTCCAAAACCTGTCCATAGTCCGTTCTCAAAGACATTGTGACTGTTGTCAGCCTACTACCTGAATGTCTGGTCCCAAAACCATGTTTTGAGCTTCTTCCTAAAGGAAAGGAAGGATGTAGTTTATCTAATTTCACTGGGAAGCATGTTCCACAGGCAGGGGGCCACCATCAAGAAGGTCCTGTCTCTCATCCCCACCAAGTATGTTTGCATCAGAGGTGGGTTTGAGAGCAGGGTCTCCCTGGACGATCTTAGACTCCGAGGTGGTATGTAGAGGGAGATACATTTGGACAAGTAAGCTGGGCCGGAACCGTATAGGGCTTTATAGGCAAGACCAGCACAAATTTGCACACATTTTACATATGGGTTCAGACTGGACGCACACACAAGGGAGCATGTGTCATGTGATAGGAACCTCAGGAAACCACAGGGAAAGGGTGCCAAAAACAGAGTAAATGAGCATGTGATAAGATCCTTAGCTCACAAAAGTTCAGTAAATTTGGCAATTCTTTATGAGGAACATAAAGGCAATTCTTTATGAGAAACTTAAGACTATCAAACTTGTCAAGCCCCTTTTTGATGGCTATAAGTAAATTAAAAGGCATATTGGGAATCGTGCTGCCTTCCAGAAGTTCCCAGCTCTCATCACTAGCTAAGATTACTAGTAATTTCAATCCAGCAAGATTTGGAGTGCCAACATGATTTCCATAGTTAGAATATTTCTTGTTAATATGTGTGCTGCATTTCTGAATTGCTAATCTTGTATATGTTTGTGGCTTGTATTTTAAGGGTGCAGCTATACTGCAGAATTAATGTATTTAGCATGTTCTACTGTTTCTGGTGGTTATGTCAATAAGCTCAGAACTCCATGTATGATATGACATCTCTCAGGATCCATCACACCTTGCAAATCTATATAAATAAAAATGTAATGTTCGTTTGTGGGATTAATATAACTCAAAAACCACTGGACGAATTGACACCAAATTTGGACACATGGCACCTAACAGTCCAATGTATGTCCTTCACTCAAAAAAATTGATTTTGTCATTTGGGAGTTGTAGTTTCTGGGATTTGTCGTTTATGTACAATCAAAGAGCATTCTGAACCCCACCAACGAATGGAATTGAACCAAACTTGGCACACAGTTCTCCTATGACCAACAGAGTTGTAGTTCACCTACATCCAGAGATCACTGTGGACTCAAACAATGATGGATCTGGACCAAACTCTACACAAATACTCAATATGCCCAATGTGAACACTGGTGGAGTTTGGGGAAAATAGAATCTTGACATTTGGGAGTTGTAGTCCTGGGATTTGTAGTTCACATACAATCACAGAGCATTCTGAACCCCACCGATAGAATTGGGCCAAAAACTCCCACACAGAACAGCCATGTGGGCCACAGCAACGAGTGGCATGCGACGGCTAGTCTATATAAATAAAAATGTAATGTTCATTTGTGGAATTAATATAACTCAAAAACCACTGGACGAATTGACACCAAATTTGGACACTACACTCCTAACAGGTCAACAAGTGACCATCACTCATAAACCCCTCAAAAAACCAATGAAAAGGACTTAAAACCCCCCCAAAAGCTAAATGACAATACAGCACATGCATGAAAACAACTCCCCTCCCCTCACGTGAGGGAAAAGAAAACAAACAACTGTCCCAGCTCTCCTTTGCCCTGTGCTGCAGTCACATCAGAAGGCTGCAGCCCTTAGTGGGCAGCCTTGGCCCACAGCATTTTGGCCCCCAGTCTTGTGATCCTGAAGACGGCGGCAGTTGGAAGGAGCAATACGCAGACCTGAGGGTAACATGAGGGCACAAGGAAAGTGTGTGTGTGTGTAGGGAGGGGGTAGTCCCTCACCCCGAACATGAGCAACCAGGGAAATTTCTCAAGCGGCTCAGATCATGCCTCAAGCCCGGGTCACTGTCTACAGATGCCACGGTGGCCACCTGGTTGGCTGGCCACCTGGCCACAGGCCTCGCACACTTCTGCTTAACCCCTCACCTCCAGACTGGGCCCATGAGACAGTCATTCTACCTAGTGGCAGGAAGTCTGCAGCAGACTCCTGGTTTACTAACCATGGCGTCCTTGCTTGGCAGAGATCAGGAACACATCTCTCTCAAGTGTTGCCTTCAAGCACACCTCTTTTCCAGTCTATGTCTAGAGAGAAGGAATGAAGGAGGGAAAGGGGAAGGAAGGAAGGAAGGAGGGAGGGATTTTGGCCTGCATAAATAGGAGCATAGTGTCTAGATGCTACCCCTCTATTCCGCTTTGGTTAGACCACACCTGGAATATTGTGTCCAATTCTGGGCACCACAATTCAAGAGAGATATTGACAAGCTGGAATGTGTCCAGAGGAGGGCGACTAAAATGATCAAGGGTCTGGAGAACAAGCTCTATGAGGAGCGTTAAGGAGCTGGGCATGTTTAGCCTGAAGAAGAGAAGGCTGAGGGGAGATATGATAGCCATGTATAAATATGTGAGAGGAAGCCACAGGGAGGAGGGAGCAAGCTTGTTTTCTGCTTCCTTGGAGATTAGGACATGAAACAATGGCTTCAAACTACAAGAAAGGAGATTCCATCTGAACATGAGGAAGAACTTCCTGACTGTGAGAGCTGTTCAGCAGTGGAACTCTCTGCCCCGGAGTGTGGTGGAGGCTCCTTCTTTGGAAGCTTTTAAACAGAGGCTGGATGGCCATCTGTCAGGGGTTATTTGAATGCAATATTCTTGCTTCTTCGCAGGGGGTTGGACTAGATGGCCCATGAGGTCTCTTCCAACTCTTTGATTCTATGATTCTATGAGAAAAGAAGGGAGGGAAAGAGGGAAAGAAGGAAGGGGGGAAGGAAGGAAGGAAGGAAGGAAGGAAGGAAGGAAGGAAGGAAGGAAGGAAGGAAGAAGGAAGGAAAGAGGTAGAGAAGGAAGGAAGGTGAGAAGAAAGAAAAAGAGAAGAAGGAAAGAGAGGAAAGGAAGGAAGAGAAGGAAGGAAGAGGAGGAAGGAAGAAAAGAGAAAGGAAAAGAGCAAAGAAAGAAGGAAGGAGAGAAAGAAAGAGGTAGAGAAGGAAGAAAGGAGAGAAAGAAAGAAGGAGAGAAATAGGGAGGGAAGGTTGGCCACAACAACATGTGGCGGGTACAGCTAGTAAAGTCATAAAAGGATGCTTAATTTTTCCACTTACCTCTAGTCTGACTCTTTGAGACATCATTCCGATTTCAGCATACTTAATGGTTGCATTGCAAAACAAAAAGATATCAGTCCTGCAGAGCAAAATTTTCTCTTTCAGATGATACTATTCGCAAGTATATTCAGGTAGACTCTTTTTAAATAATTGGCTTTGAACTTTGGTAGATTTTACCATTTGCACAGACAGTGCCAAATTTGAAGAGGTCCTGCAGGGTGGTTATTGATGTTAAATAGTTGCAAATCTGGCAGTATTATGTCCAGCAGAATCATAATGCTTGGTCAAAATTTCAAGTATGTATCTTCATTTGCATGGAAATGGTTGCAGTCTGAATATTTGTCAGAATTTGTTGTGACACATTTTGATGCACATTGTGAGTCAACTTGTTTGATTGGATTTTGCATTCATAATGTTAAAATTAATTTAATAGGAACCAGCAGAAAAAACTGTACAGCATTTCAATTTACTAACCATTCTCATACATTTAGATTCAATTTTATTAGACTCCAAAAAGGCATTTTGTTAAATGTTGTGTACCCGCAGACTGACTATCAGATATTGCAGGAGAAATGCACATATATAGAGAGAGAGGATTTGCAAACGTTTCAGGGAGAAATTCATGTGTGAAATTAGTATATACAATTATAGATCTATACCTAACCCTGCATTGTTTATATAGACGTTGAATGTTTGCCTGTTACTATATTGGAAGCCAATCTGAGTCACCATGGGGAGATAGGGCGGGATACAAATGAAGTTTCCGTTGTTGTTGTTGTTGTTGTTGCTGTTGTTTTTATTATTATTATTATTATTATTATTATTATTTGAAACACAACAAGATGAGTCCACTGCAGACACTCTGCTAGCTATTGTACCGGATCACACGTCGGTGTGATGCATCGGCGAATAATGCGTGGAGATCCCAGTAACATGGCCTTCTGCAGCTGGCAGATGGTAATTTTGTCAGCGCCAATTGTGTTTAAGTGCAGGCCAAAGTCTTTAGGCACTGCACACAGTGTGCCAAGCACCACTGGGACCACCTTGACTGGTTTGTGCCAATTATTATTATTATTATTATTATTATTATTATTATTATTATTATTAAAGTTATTGTTGATACCCTATTGTTTTTGTTGATCCTACTTTTCCACTTAGAGAGCTAGCTTACCGTTTTTCTTTGAAATACAGTAAATATTCAAAAACTTTTAACCTACTGATGCCCCAATTAATGTAATTTTATCTATTTTTATTTTGAAATTTACCAGTAGCTGCTGTATTTAATCCCCTAGGCTTATACTCAAGTCAATAAGTTTTCCCAGTTTTTTGTGCCTCGATTTATATTCGGGTCATCTTATACTCGGGTATCTACTGTAATCCATTTCTGAGCAACTCTACTGAGAAGTAAGCCACAGACACTGATGAACTCTGGATATCTCATCTTGTTGCAGGACCAGTTTATATATCTTGCAGGATCAGTTTAAAGGCATTTAAAGCATAGGGCTTTTAAACTTTAAATGACGTTAAATCCCCTTATCCCCAATATCTGATCAGATATAAACACATAAAATGAGCAATACTGGATCAGGCTCAAAGTCTGTCTAGTCCTCCATTATATTCACACAGTTGCTGAATAGTTGTTTATGGGAGGCCCACTTGCACAATATTGGTGTGATTGCAGTGTTGTGATCCACAGCAACTGATTATAAGCAGTCCCCACGTTGCAAGCATCTGACTTACAAATGACTCATAGTTAAGAATGGGGTTGAGACAACAGAAAGTGAGAGAAACCTACCCTTCAGAAGAGAAATTCGCTCATAAAAGAATAATCATGGGGAAAAGGTGTCTCAATTGAAGGTTTCTTACCAATCCTTGTTTCCACAACAAGCCATTTTTTTCAAAATGCAGTTAGGTGAAATCTTCCGAACAGAGACACAGACAGCAAAACAGACCCTTCCCTATGCTATCCAAAGCTCTGAGAACCCTTTGGGGTGAGAAGGGTGGGGTACAAATGCGATATGTGAGATATATATATATATATATATATATATATATATATATATATATGGAGTTATACATGAGTTCACATTTACATGTATGGAGATCAACTTTTCACCAGTGAAATCAGCAAGCACATAAGTTTAGGGATACGATGGCAAAAAAGAAAGGATGCTCGTGATCAGGTACTTACAAAAGGTACTTCAGCCACTGGACCAGTGCAGTCTCCTCGGCCAACACCAATTAAGTAGCCATCCTGAGAAACTATGAGAACAAGACAAATTAGTATGGAGAACACTCCTTCCAACAGCTGGGCTTAGGAATACTACAGAATTTGCCCTTTTAGAATATATCTAGTGTAACCTGGTTTCCTTTTCTCTGACATCTACCATTCTATGTTTTTCTTATTTTGTTTTTGTTGTGCAATGACAATAACATAACCATGTGACCTCTTCCCAGTGGTCTGGATATGTACTGTCCAAACAAAGTCCCCCTTCTTGTTTGAAAAAAATGCCTACATGTAATAATAATTTTTTTTTTGTCGTGTCAGGAGCGACTTGAGAAACTACAAGTTGATTCTGGTGTGAGAGAATTGGCCGTCTGCAAGGATGTTGCCCAGGGGATGCCTGGATGATTTGATGTTTTATCATCCTTGTGGGAGGCTTCTCTCATGTCCCCGCATGAGGAGCTGGAGTTGATAGAGGGAGCTCATCCGCCTCTCCCCGGAATCGAACCTGCGACCTGTTGGTCTTCAGTCCTGCCGGCACAGGGGTTTAACCCACTGCGCCACCGGGGGCTCCATAACAACAACAACAACACCAACAACAACTTTATTTTTATACTCCACAACCATCTCCCCGAAGGGACTCAGGATAGCTTACAAGTGGCACCATGCCCAGAACATACAACAAGATACACCAATGAAAAACCAATTAAAAACATCTATATAAATATAAATGTAATGTTCATTTGTGGGATTAACATAACTCAAAAACCACTGGACGGATTGACACCAAATTTGGACACAATACACCTACCAGGCCAATGAGTGACCATCACTCATAAAAACACTGAAAAACACAACAGAAGGGACTTAAACGGCAAACAAAGCAAAAATATGCTACAGCGCATGCGCAAAAACAACTTCCCCTGGCAAGCTAAACATACAATAGCATATCCACACTCTCTTCCAGACTACAACTCCCAGCATCCCCTAGACCAGGCCCTTTAGGAGAGGAGGATGATCCAAATGCACTGCTTTCAAGCTGCAAGCTTTCTTCTTCTTGGATTTCTTTGAGAGCATACCAATCCCTGCATATTTACATTTTTTAGTTGATATTGTATTAATTGTATGTTTTTAACTATTGTGTTATTGTTATTGCATTTTATTGTAATTGTTGGCATCGAATTGTGCCAGATGTAAGCCACCCTGAGTCCCCCCTAGGGGGTGAGAAGGGCGGGGTAGAAATGTCCGAAATAAATAATAAATAAATAAATAAATTTCTTATTCCTGGACTACAACTCCCAGTAATCCTCCGGATAGATAAGATAGATAGATAGATTAGATAGAGATAGGTAGGTAGGTAGACAGATGGATCAGGAGGACTGCTGGGAGCTGCAGTCAAAGAATAGGTGGAGAAGGAAGAAAGGGGAGAAAGGGGAAGGGAAAGAATAGGGGAGGGAAGGAAGGGAAGAGGAAGAAAAGGAAGGAAGGAGAGAATGAAAGAAAAAAAGGAAGGAAAGAGGGAGAGAAGAAAGGAGGAGAGAAAGAGGGAGAGAAGGTTGGCCACAGCAATGTGTGGCGGGTACAGCTAGTAACAAAAACAACAACAACAACAACAACAACAACAACAACAACAACTTTATTTTTATACTCCGTCACCATCTCCCCAAAGGGACTCGGGGCAACTTACAAGTGGCACCAAGCCCAGAACATACAACAAAATACACCCACGAAAAGCACAATTAAAAACAGAATAGCATATAAAATCCAATTAAAACAATTAAAAAACACAGAAGGATATAAAAACATCATTAAAAGTATATCAAACCAAACTCAATAACCAGTAACCAAGACATGGCATGATCAGACTAGAGAGGGCTGGGCATGGACTTGTGCAAAAGCAGACTATAGGGCCAGGGCTGAGAACAACCTTATCAGTAAATAGGAGTGGGCATTCATGAACAGGGACTAACCATCATCAAAGGCACACTGAAACAGCATAGCAATTACCTATGGATATTTACTACCTTGTAATGCTGCTCTCTGTAGATGACAGTGGAAGACTACAGAGAGGGTGGGGACAATTGTAACTTTCTCCCTTAGCATACTGTAAGGAAGCGTAATCCCACCTAAATGGGATTACCAAAATTAAGTAAATATGTATGTTGATCCACCTAATTTCAGCATAAATTATAAGGAAGTCCCAATACTGCTTGATTACACTGCCACCATTATATATATAAAGAGATGTTGGAATTGAAGTCTCTGTTCATCCCTATCTGCGTTGTGAGGAAACTTTGGTAGAGTGGATTGCACCAAATGTAAAATCAATGGAGGAGGCAGATTTATAACACAGAGAGAACAAGTTTATTGTTAACAGAGCGTAATTGTTGCAATACTAAGATGTTGAACTTGGCACAAGCTTGATGGTTACAATATGGCTTGGTAGAGATACATTCAGGCTTCTGAATGTTACAATCCTTTAAACTCCTTCTTCAGTGAAGTACTTTATTATTTCAGTGTTCCCTGTTGTGAATATTCACTCTGTTTGTCCTATACCGGATCAAACCACCGATCTCCAGTCTTTCACTACTGGGATCCCTAAAACCCCCTTTGTTAGATTCTTTTTAACACAAGCAATCTAACAAGGTTTCACCTTCAGCTCCCTTGCTGAAGAAATTTTCACAAATGCTAAGAACTAACTGAATTTATACTGCTTCACCACACAGAGCCCTAACTGACTCCCTCCTCTTCTCAGGGTCTCATCCTCCTGACTGACTCTTAACTGTTACTTTCAAACCTTTATCTCCTTAAGCTCCGCCCACCTTCTCTTCTGCCTTGTCACCATGGCAACCTATCTTAACTGTTACTTTCAAACCTTTATCTCCTTAAGCTCCGCCCACCTTCTCTTCTGCCTTGTCACCATGGCAACCTATCTCTCACAGCTAGGCCATGGCCACGCATGTAAAACATAAATACAGTTTAAACACAGTACATTAAACCCTTTATAATAAACACTTCTCTACAATACTGTACTAGTGTGTATTACTACTTTTTGAGTTTTGGGTTTGCTTGATTTTCAGCCTTTTCTTAGCTTTCTTTTGGGAGCATGTGGGGTGGGAGGCAGCAGGGTTTTGGGAAGGAGATCGCAAAATTATTGCATTTTGCAGCTATTTTGAGATGTTTTGGAGGGGTGTGGGAGCCTTACGACACTCTGGGAGAGGTCCAAGAGCCACAACCTGCACATGTAGCTACTTTACTTACACCCACTGAAAGCAAAATAGATTATTCCCACATACGTATCAGCTTTTGGCTGGGTTTATCTTACAATGTTGGCAGCCAGACACACTCTTGTTTTAAGAGTAATTGGAGAATCTCCAATTGCCTTCAGGGCACAGCACCTTTAAAGTGGTAAGTGCTCATTAGATAGCTTTCAAAAGCAGTTATTGCTCATAGTCACGGTATGATAATCTCCTTATTGTGCATTGTTTGGAATAGTAGAAATGTTGCTGTACTCGTGGTTAGGTTCATTAATATCACCAGCTAAGGATGGTGCATTTCCTCTGAATGAATGCCTGGAGGAGATAATGGGCTGGATGAGGAAAAACTATCTGAGATGTGAGCACAAAAGTTTGGCTATAATATTGAACTGGAAAAATGGATGAGAATGTAGCAGGAGGGATTGATGTCTACATAACCTTATGATCCAAGAGAAAACTTCTACAATTTGATGTAACACCAGTGAAATGAGCAAAAATGTACAAAGGAAGTAGTAACTTTTCTTGTAAACGGAAACAACAAGAAGGCTATGTATTGTCGAAGGCTTTCATGGCTGGAATCACTAGGTTCTTGTGGGTTTTTTCGGGCTATAGAGCCATGTTCTAGAGGCATTTCTCCTGATGTTTCGCCTGCATCTATGGCAAGCATCCTCATGCTTGCCATAGATGCAGGCGAAACGTCAGGAGAAATGCCTCTAGAACATGGCCATATAGCCCGAAAAAACCCACAAGAACCTAGTGATTCCAGCCATGAAAGCTTTCGACAATACATTGTATTATAGTAAATCTATATAAATAAAAATGTAATGTTCGTTTGTGGGATTAACATAACTCAAAAACCACTGGACGAATTGACACCAAATTTGGACACAATACACCTCTCAAGCCAACGACTGACCATCACTCATAAAAACACTGAAAAACACAGCTGAAGGGACTTTAAAAGCCAAAATATACATTACAACGCATGCGCAAAACCACATATATACACAAACACACATATATAGATATATACACAAATATATACACACATACACACACAAAACACTGAGCCACAGCAACATGTGGCAGGGGACAGCTAGTGTGTCAATAATCTAATGCCTTTAAACTAGAAATGGAAGGAAGGAGAGAAGGAAATAAAAATGAGAGAAGGAAGGAAAGAGAGAGCGGAAGGAAGGAGAGAAGGAACGAAAGAGAGAAAGAGGAGGGAAGGAAGGGAAGAGACAAGAAAGATGGAACCAAAGAGCAAAGGAAGGGAGAAAAGAAACAGGTAGAGAAGGAAGGAAGAAGAAGGGAAAGTACAAGGGGAAGAAAAAGAGGGAAGGAAGGAAGGAGGGAGGGAGGGAAAGAAGGAAGAAAGGAGAGAGAAAGAGAGAGAAAGAGAGGTAAGGTTGACCATAGCAACACGTAGCTGGTAAAGCTAATAATCTATATAAATAAAAATGTAATGTTCGTTTGTGGGATTAACATAACTCAAAAACCACAGGACGAATTGACACCAAATTTGAACACAATATACCTATCAGGCCAATTAGTGACCATCACACATAAAAACACAGTGGAAGTGACTTATAAAGCAAAAAAAACCCATTACATTACAATGTATGTGCATAACCACATAAATACACATATACGCAAATATATACACACACAAATACACACACACATACACACACACAAAACACATATACACAGACTGGACCACAGCGACGCATGGCAGGGCTAGTTAAATATAAATTTCCTTTTAATCTGGTGCTTTTTAA